TTTTTTTGTTAACGGAGTAACGATTGAGGCAACGGCTCACGCTTGAGGTGTTCAATGCCCGTGTCATTTATCAAAGACGGCGGTGGTCGTTGGCTTCCATTTAGCTCTGTCCGTGACGTTACTCAAGAACTTTGCATTAGAGGCTCGATTTGTTGCAGTGATTCAATGTTGCCAGTGTCCTTGACAAGTCGCGTTTCTTCTTAAGGCAATTGCTGCCTCTATCTAAAGGGATAATAACTGCCACTGAATGTGGCGTTTTCACGCTCAGGTTTATTTAGTTTAACCAGGTGAGTACTCAAGAGACCAGTACGAAAGTCTAATTTTGAAAGGGGTGACCTGGATCACCAAAATCAATAAAAGCAATCTCATGAAGTAGAAATGATCGAAATATGAAATGAGAACAACTAAAACACAAATAAAAATCAGGGCAAAAACAACCAAATTTCGCAGAAGAATTCGGAAATACTTCATTAACATACATCGAATATTAAATAAAATACATTTCCTGTCGATAGAGTTGACTCGGACGAATTACTTTAAGGAAAAAAGAAACACTGCATCGTAAGCTTGAGTTCCAGAAACAGTGAAATGTGATTCAGGGTGATCGTTGCCCTCGTATGTAAACAGACAAGGACATTGTGTCATTTGCATGAATATATTTACACTCATACACACATGTCAAAGATGTGTGGACCCACAGTGTCACGAGGTAAAGCCAGCCTCCCTAACGACCACGGATTAGGTGCGAACGACTCCGAAGCACGACATCGGCTTAAGCTTCCAATGAAATTCACTTCAAAGTGGAACCTGAGCAGATGGCTATTTCGTCGAGCCGTGTGGACGCGTTTTACGATGACAGTCGTGGTGGAGGCGGTGGGAGGAGTGGGATAGACGCCTGGAGTAGATTTGCTGTCGCCTCACGCTGAGAAACTTCCTGTGAGCTGGAACTATTTATCCGCACGCCACAGGATGCGTTGGCCGTTTTATCACATAGGGCTCATTGTCCACGTTGAGGCGAGTGGAAGTGCATCATTAGTGACATTCAAAGCCTAAAAATAAAGCGTCTCTGTGTGAGTACAGTCTTTACCAATGGGCTTAAGTGTTCCTTTCTGCGTCTAAGTGTGAACACAACAGTAACAATCACAGTGGCCCTGTTCAGTCTCTATGATTTTTTTCCGACGAATAATCCACCCTTAAATTCTCCTTGATCTCGGAAGCTAAACGGATTTAGGCCTGGTTAGGACTTGGATGGGTGTCTGCCTGGCAATCCCAGGTGTTGTGGGCTTTGCCTGCCAGGTGACGAGGGGATGGCATTGCACGTTTAGCTTTTACCTGTCTGTGTTGGAGCTTCAAGCGTCACTCCCTCTTATCCGGGAGATTTCACCCGGTATTTCGGTTCATGCCCACAAGTCAAGCACTCCTTCATAGAATGGGGACAAATATTCCCAATGCACGACCCTCCTGAAAAATAGTCCTGAGACTCAGCGAGGCCTTCCTGGGTAAAGGGCACCGTAATTAGTATTGCAGATGAAGATGAATGTGCGTTTAGTGGGTATGCTTTTTGAAGAACGAGAAGAAACAACAATGTACGTCATTTGTATGCAGTTATTGTTTTGAAATAGCACTTACCTGATTATGAACATCTATTGATTTAATTACTCTACCGCAAACGAATTGGCCAAACATTGAAAGCTTTGCTCCGTGAACCAAGGGCTCTACCACTGTCACGTGTTTAACCCCCGCGTGCGTGACTTATAAAGGGATTATATTTATTGTTTTGGTTGGTTGTGATTTTAGGAGTATAAAAAGCCGTGTGAAATTCCTTGCATAGTATCGTGTATATATCACAGCAGTCCGCCACAGTGTGTATATATCACAGCCGTCTGCCCCGCACCTCCGACGATCACGGTTGGCTACGTACGGTGCGAAAGAAGTTCAACGTACATACACACAGTGGACGTGATGCACGAATGGGTAACACAGCGCTCTCGTGAACCACCTTCGCCAGACTTAATGAGCATGGAAAAGCCCTCCCTCATCTCCCATGTACAGGCCTGAGACAGTGGTGGCAATTCCACATTCCTATGACAGGGAGCAAGTATTCCTTGGACAAGCACTGTTGTCTTCCACCAAGTTGTTGCTATCGTCAGCGTGCAGCAGAGTAGACGGTGGACGATACATTTGGTTACTTGTGCTTGACAACGTTCCAATAAATACAATTATCCGTTCAAGCGCTTAAGAACGAGCGATTGTTCGCAGCGGAGCTTGGTAAGGATTAGGGCGAGATTAAAAATGTTGCCTTTTAAAGTGACGGACGGGCGTTTTACTCTCGACATTTGCTGGAAAATGTGCGAGGGGCTCTCACGCACGTGATTAGCATTCCTGGAGCTGTGAACACAATCCCCTTCTAAGGTGGCCAGCACCGATGTGGTTACGCAACTTCACACGAATACATTAATTCCGGCTCCCACCGCCCGTGCCCCTTGACGATGGCCGAGGAAGTACACCGTGGATCCTTGCATATAAATTGCTGTTTCATTTCACGTTACTTAAAACACATAGTCAGGTTTCTCGCATTAAAGTGCCAACAAGGGTACATTGAAACGTAATAGGCAAAAGCGCAGCCCTGCTGTTTGCTCGCTCACGCCACTCGTGTGGGAAGGGCCTCCGCTCGAGGGAGCTCCAGAGACCTTCTCCGGAGGGGTATTGGACCTAAATCTTGACTTAAAGCTTTCGTGTCTGCAGGAACTCATATTCTTTGGGTCTTTCGGTAAAGCCACGTAGATAGGACATTTTTTGAAAATAATAACAACATGACGTTTCGATCGCAACACAAGCAATCATCATCAGGTGACAAAAGAGGGGGAAAGCTGCTGAGGCAGGCTGTTTATAGATTGGCGGGGCAGCTGACGTTAATGTGGGAGAGGTCTCCGTAACCTGCAGTAGGTCTACGCCAATCAAAGACCTGTTTATAAATGTTTAGAGATGGGCGGGGCAGCTAACGTTAATGTGGGAGAGGTCTTCATAACCTGCAGTAGGTCTACGCCAATCAAAGACCTGTTAATAAAGGTCTAGAGATGGGCGGGGCAGCTAACGTTAATGTGGGAGAGGTCTCCATACCCGGCAGTAGGTCTACACCAATCAAAGAGCTGTTAATAAAGGTTTAGAGATGGGCGGGGCAGCTAACGTTAATGTGGGAGAGGTCTCCATACCCGGCAGTAGGTCTACACCAATCAAAGAGCAAGCCGCCATTAACTAACACAGTTAACGGTTGCTGTGTTAGTGAATGTAACTCAGAAACGAAGCTTTGGGGTGGCCATTGTATTGTGAGATATTAGCATGTCAATGTAAGAATTTTGCTTGCAAATGCAAGCTCGGAGAGAGCTGAAAAGAGCCATCGCCACATGGAGGTGGACATAGGTATTTTAGGTTATATTTGAGGTAGTGGACCTATTTTACCATGCTGGATAGACACATCTGGCAAGAGGTGGAAGTACCCACACTTTATCCCACCACACGTGACCTGCCTAATAACCGCCTCGCGGACCCATTGATACTTCTTGGTGGACAGAGGCGGGGAAATAATCAGGGGGGGAAGTAAAACAAATTTGCCCCACGTTTCTTCCACAGCGTGGATTGCACGTCCAGCGCGTGAGCCATTACACCGAAGCAGGACTGTAATGTACTCTCCCTTAATGTCCGCATGATGCCAGTGGTGAAAGCTATGCATACTTGGCATAGCCCGATGGCTCTTCGGAGAAATTATTTGTTTTTACAAAAACAGAAACTTTCTATTGGGAGGTTTCCGACTCAACAGTTGACGTTCCGTGTAATACAATGCGGTGGATGGAAAATTTTCCAAATGCTTAACAAATTGGAGACGAAAATGAAAAACAACTTAATGGATGCAACAGCTTGGTACCAATGTAAACGCTCACCTGCAGTGTCTAAGGACAGAGTGTCCTTGCAAGCAAGTGCAAGGTAATGAACGCATTTATCCTCTGGGCGAGGCACATTTTATTCCTAGCTTATTATGCAGCGAGCCCGCCCGCCCATCATCCAACGCCTCGTCAGAAAATATAAAAGTCCGGGTAGTGGAATGAACGCCGAACTGCGGCACAAGCCGACTATTGCACAACGCCATGCGCTATAAAATGTTCTTTGCAGTTGGTCGGTTGGATGGTGAATAATTGATCGTTTAGCCAACAATCCCGAGAAGGCAACAGAGTTGTGAACCCTGTAAAGGGTGATATTTGAAATGTCACGACGTGGAACGTTGCCTCGGTTAGCAACGCGATGAAAACATTCTAAAAAAGAAACAAAGGGCGATGTTGTTTTGTCGTGCTGAATGTGGACCAGCAGGGCCCATGAGGAGCTGTCGTGCACCGCTGGTGGAATGCCACTCGGCACGGAGCCCTGACCGAGCGACGTCACAGAGCCGGGGCATGGCGGTGTTGCCCCTTCCTTCATACTGACGCGTGTATCGAGGGAGGGGGGATGACCCGTGACAAAAAAATCCGCACAGATGGATGCAATCTGCTTTCTGTATTCCATCGCAACCCCAGTGGATTTGGGAGTTTCGCAAATTCGTGCGATCCCACAAACCCTCGCCTCCAAATGCTCAATTTTCTAAGGGGGGGGGGGGCAGGGTTATTCTGTTTCCTCCAACAAGAAGCCAGACTCTCATGAAATGGAATTCATGGCCAGACATCCCCAATGTGGCATGACTCTCCTAAAAAGAAAGTCTTAAGATCCAGCGAGGCTTTCCAGTGTAAACAAATCACATTACGCTTAAGGCGAAACATTGCTAAACATTTAAATGCCGTCTATGTATCAGCTGTATGCAAATCTTCGTGAGAATTATTTCATGCGAGCAAGAGTGCGGTGGAATGATTTGAAACCTCCCTCGTCATTCTTGTGCATTCTGTGCGTAAATCCCCAGGGTTGCGGGTGTTATCTTTGCGAAGCCATTCAATAAGTGATTTTGTTTGTCTTTGCAGGGGCTGGCGAGTCGGGGAAGAGCACCATAGTCAAGCAGATGAAGTAAGTGGCAGCATACGCAACTTTTAATCGTAATCCTCTCCACATTATGCTGCATAAGAAAAGTTAACGACGACACATATATCATTCGAATTCTTTATGAAGAATTCGTAAAGAAGAGAATACATATTTCATTATAGTTCCGTGTGCAATGATTGTATCATGTTCCATGTAACAAAGCTTGCTGGATGGAGGACTCCTGACTCCATGTCAGTCATAAGGGGGGTTTTCTTGACCATACTCCACCACGCCAGTCAGTGCGGGTTGGTGAATGGGGTGACCCAAGACTAGTTGGGATATCACCGATCTTAGCCATGGTCGGGAATCAAACTCGGTTCTCTTGTGTACTTAAGCACAGCACGCTAACCGTTGTGCCACCATTCCCCAGTTATAAGTGTAATTGTGTTTTTATAACACGTCATCCTCTTGACATTCCAGTCTTGCGTGTGATGGTCAATGTGCCCAGGAGCTCAATGCCAATATTGAGGTGTGGAGGGCTTCAAGGAGAACAAGTTGGTGTAGTTTTTGCTATTCCTCCTTCATTGAAGGGGCACGGACGACCGTGGTTTATCTGTGTTTTTGACGTTATAATATGTTGCTGGGCAGCAGAAGATTACGATGCGGTTTTCCTACGTGAAACAAACCTAGACAACGATTTCAACTATTTTTTTTATTTTACCAGGCAAGGCCCCCACTGCGCTATGTGACTATTTCAGAAGCGACCTGGCCACAAATGATAGCTCAACGAAGTAGCTTATCACGTGGACATTTACAGCCGCCAAATACTCTAGACGCATGATTCTAAATGTGGAGGGAAACACCAGAGGACCTGGAGAAAAGCCATCGTGACCATGGGGAGAGAGAACATGCAAACTCCAAATATTCAGGCGCCAGGGTCGGGATCGAACCCACGACCTCCTGTATAGCAGGCGAGCTAGTTAACATCTCGCCACCGTGGCACAACACTGGCGGCTTACAGGCCACGTCTCACGCGTGGCTTCTGTGTTTGTGTGCGTTGTTAAAGTGCACAACCAACGTGGGGATTAGGGCGCTTGCGATTTGGCGTAGGCGTAGGGGTCACCACGCGCGCGTGTGCTCCGTAGACATTCTTTGCAGAGTAGTGCAGGTTTTAAGGTTACGAGAGTTACGAAGTTTTTTTTACGAATAAACCCTTGTAGCCATTCACCTGGGCCTGCTCTGTGCAAACTATCGTAGAGTAGGCACACAGCCTGCCTCACGGGGCCGGCTGACCGCGTCTGCATTGGCACAAAGAGCCACCGCCACCACCGCAGTGGCAGCGGCGCGCCCCACGCTCGTTGCCACGTGGACTCTGTGGCCCATTTGCCGCCTGGGCTCTGTGCCCGTTTTTCCACGTGGGCTCTGCGCCCCTTCCGCTGTCACGAGGAGCGGCTGACTCGATTCCCCAGCGCAATTTGCCGCTGCGCTGCCTGGCCCGGACGCCCCTGGCGAGAGACGATTTCCTGACTTGTCGCCTCCTCGCAGGATCATCCACGAGGACGGCTACTCGGAGGACGAGTGCAAGCAGTACACGGCGGTCGTGTTCAGCAACGCCATTCAGTCCATCATCGCCATCATCCGAGCGATGGGGAAGCTCAAGATCGACTTCGGAGACGTTTCCAGAGCGGCAAGTAACCGCCCGTGCTTTATGTCCCGTGGCCTCCCGCCATTTAACAAACATAAATATATATGACGTGTATGAATACGGGAAAGTTGTCATTATGTCCACGATTTTATCCCAATTTGGCTGCATAGTGGTGCGATGGTTAGCACACCGGACTTGTGATAAAGAAATTGCCGGTGCGATTCTAAACCGCTGGCGTGGCAGTTTAAACAATGGTGAAAATGTATTAAATCCTCCGCCTCTGTTCGCCCAGCGGTACGAGGGAGTAAACGGCAGTTGATTGGCAGTTCACGTGGGGTGGGGTGAATTGGGGTCTGGCGTGGAAGAGTAGGCCAAGAATTCCTTTCAGGCGGTGCTCTCTAGAGCTGGGCTGCACCTCTACCCTTGTTTAATTATCAAGATTGTCCTGTCGGCATCACCTTATGAGATGCAGAAAGCATCCATTCTCGGACCTCTCGCAGAGTAATGTAACCAGGGCATCACACCCCGCACACCACATCCACTGGTTACCTCTAACCATGTGCCACCTTCCGGTAATTTGCAACCCGTAAAATATCCATGCGGAAGAATTCCGGTCCGAGAGCAATGCTTCGTGTAGAGAGTGGCTCAGCGAATAACGACTGGACATCATTGAACTACTGGACATATGTGAAAAAGAGGATCTCCAGTATAGCTCATCCGATTCCTCCTGCAGTATAAATACATATTCAGATTCTGATTGTTGTGAAGCCACATTTTCGGACCCTCCCAAAAAAGAAGTTTAATGTTTCATATCATCCAAGATTTCACATCTAGGTCAGATTTTCAAAGCGTCGTTTTGACAGCAGCCGTTTTCGTCCTGGGAAATGGGCTCACGTTGCTCAGTGTAAGCAGCAGCTACCTCGGCGACAATACCGTGTGCTTAGCTTCAACAAGCAGTGACATTTCCGCCGCGCAAAGCGCCGAACTCACCTTGTCACTGCAAATTCCTCCCCGCGCTCAGCGTAATGCGCTGCCCATTAAAACGAAACGTTTATCCTTAAAAAATTATACGCGGCATAGCGAACTGCCGAATAGTCTGATTCGATGGTTGTGTTATGACTGTTTGTGACGGTTAAGTAATTGGATGCAAATCGCACAGATTGTGCGATTTTATAGTAATGTTTTTTTTAAAACACATTTTCCCGTGCGTTTCCAATGGCAATAAATGACTTCATGTGACTTAAATTGCACGCTCAGAGCAATTAGGTGTGACAACTTTAACGCTCAACAGCGGCATCACTTTCGCTGCGGCAAATAGTCGTGTCTGAACGTGCATAACAGCGGGCGAGGGTAGGTAATGATGGATGTTGTTCATTTATTTATTTCATTATTTCCTGAAGTCGTGCCCGCCTTCATTTCCCTCTTCACGCTTGCATTCCTGAAGCAGGGATGAGAAACCGCCGTGCCCTGATGGCCGATTATAATTATTAACCAGAGATCCTGGAGGGAGAACCCACGGGAACAGATCGCACTCAAATCTCTGCAAAAGTGAGATTTCTTTAAAACTGCCTTTTTGTGTTTCGTTTTTTGTCCTTCTCCCGCACCGCCGATCAGCACGGTTGACTATGTATGGTGCCAAAGAAGTTGAACATACATACATTTAAACCATTGCCGTACTGAATGAGAATCGGAACAGAATCCGAATACGTGCACACGGGGCCTATTAGAGTTGGGGCCCGTTTTTTTTGGGTCACCCTGTATGTATTTGTACTGGAGGAATCCGATGAGGTGTTAAGCTCTTTATCACAAATGTCCAGTGCTGCCATCTCCTTAGTCACCTCCCAACCAAAGCCCCTGACACGTGGTATTCCCAGACAGTGTGCGATCTAGCCCTGCTTGTCTTCGTAGTTCGGACGAAACAGTAGGTGCGTGAAATAAATTCGATCATAGGCAGCATATATAGAGAGGCATTTCTCACGTGACAAATCAAACCAATAGATGTCATTACAAGAGCACGAAAACACAAATATAAATGGATAACACTCAACGGTCAACACGTATGGGCTCATGAAACGATTTGCTGGCATCTGCCAACTCACAGAGAAGCGAGGCTTGGGAGTAAACTCTGCGTGATCCACCAACCATTGCCTGCCAAAGACACGAGCTGGAGCCTCGGTACAATGCTGCCAGGCTCGGCACAGAACTAGAAAGTGCTGCCCATCGTGCCAAAGAAGTTCTTCCATCCATCGGCGTGACCTCCGGGTTCAGAGGTCGGCGAACGGCAGCACTTGCCCTTGGCTACAGGCCCCCGCGATCGTCGTTCCCTGCTGCTGGGCTGGGTCCACGCCTCGAGGTCGCGCACGGTCACAGCGTCCGCCCTTGTCTGCCGCTTGCCCTGCTGCTGCCTTTCGATGTTGTCTCAAAGCGCGAGCAGGCGCAACAATTGAGCTCACCGCGAGTCTCGGACAACTTGTCTGGAATACGTTGCCACCTTCCTCCGTCTGGATAAAGCCAGCATTATTCTTCTCCCTGTCCCTTAGGCTTTTGAGCCACTGGGGCATGACACGGTTGTTCCTTTTCACCGATATCCCCTTGCAGTGGTCCACAACACTTCTCTATATGCGTTGTTGCCTCTTTCAACCGAGACGGCTTCCATCCTGTCCGATATTCGATATTGGCCGTCCAGACGGATCATCGTCTTCATCCTCCCCTTGCGCCGTGCGGAGCATTTCCCCCATTCTCCGGATTTCCATTATTTTTTTTCACAAATTCTCGCTTCATGTGTTTTTTTGCTCCACGTGCATCCTATTCTCAAGCATCCTCGCAAAGTGTGACCACCTTGGTCGAGCAGTGCAGCCAAGGCCAGTCGAGGTTGTGAAAGAAAAGGACGCCACCGGAGCTATGCACTTTAAATCTATATTTAAAACTCATTCCTTTAGAACTGATTTTTGTGTTTAGTTTGCTGTCACTCCCCCCCACACCTCCGATGAGCACGGTTGCCTACGTGCGTTGCGAAAGAAATTCAACATACGTGCAAAGAAGCTGCTTGATAAAGGAAAAAAACACAAATCAATATTTTTTGGTTAATGGCAGTGAGTATTATTGCCAAAGCTTTTGAGTTTGTTGTTATTTGTGCTTGTGCACCACCGCCAATTCGGTATCAAATAAATATAATTGGCCCTATGAAGGGCCAACTCTGCCCATGCTGCGGCGATGCAAGGGCAAACAGCCCGAAGAGGGGCAACTCGTTCCAAGCGCAGGCCCAAACCGCCGGCAGTGACGCGAGCGAGCAGCTTGCAAGGCTGCGGCCTCGACCCTTTGTCTCCCGTTCGGCACCCTCGCGTGTGCCCCGGCGGGGAGCCATCGGGTCCCCCGGCACAGCTGGGTAGCTGCGTGGATTTAGGCTGGCCAGGGCAAAGAGTGGACATGCGCTATCTCGGCGCAATGCCACTCGCGTAATGATGTCAGTTGGTAAAGGCAGTGTCGTTGACCTGTCGGCTAAATCGGGCTTCCGCCGGGCAGCGGTGTAAAAAGCTTGACGCTGTCACGACGCTGCAAAATTGAAGGACGACTAATTCATTGGAACGTGAATTTGCTGGAGCTGCAGCCGGTTAATTTCGTTTCCGTCACGCACTTTTTGGCCAAACATCTGGCTGGCCGGCGCTGTGAGAAAAAAAGTCCCTTGACTCGCTGCTGTCAGGGATATCAGCAGCGGTCACTCGGTATGAGAGTCCCAAGTTCAAATTCAGGTGGAGGTTCATCTCCGCCTATCACTTCTCTGGGTGGCTAAAGCGCATTAAAACTTCGTGGGAATGTGGCATTTCCACCGCCAACTTGGCACCTCTGAGCCTTCTGCGTGGGTATGCTCACGGCAGTGTCCATTTAGTCAGCATTGTGTCTTATAGTCATAGTCCTTGTCCAGTTGTTGTCAACAACCTGTGGAATTTTGTCTCGTCTGAGTCTGTGGTTTTTACATACTCATTCCCTTAGTATGGTCCGTAATTATCAGGTTAGCTAGTCAGTGAACATGATGAATAATTAATAAACATACATAGAAAATCCCCATTCTTGGAATTCGTCAGTTCACTGCAGTAGTCTCTATTCAAAGGTAATTTATCGGCATCTGCGTCATTATTCAGACTCATTAATTTTGTCCGTTCATACTGCAGCCGTGCCCTCAGTGTTTGGTGGGCAGTTTGAAGTGATTGTCACACCTACAGATTCTCATCCGCTCATAATAATTGAGTAAAATAAAATAAAAATACCGGAACAAAATGCCTCGTGACTGAGATCTCACGGAATGGAATGAACGCTTGTGTGCAGGAGGACGCGCGGCAACTGTTCGTGCTGGCCGGAGTGGCCGAGGAGGGCGTCATGACCCCCGACCTCTCGGAGGTCATCAAGCGGCTGTGGTCCGACAGCGGCGTGCAGGCCTGCTTCCGCCGCTCGCGCGAGTACCAGCTCAACGACTCGGCCGCCTAGTGAGTGACCATGGACCGTGGCGGCACACATCCAATTGCCCCTTTTGCTGCTGGCACGTCCGCTGCATGTGCCAGCGCAGGGGCACCTCACGGTACGGGTTGTTTATTTGTCCTTTCTTGTTCTCCCCCCACTGGTGCTCTCCCGCCGAGCCAGAAACAAACCCGCAATCGCGAGACGTCCGAATGAGGCTCTGCGCGTGGGTGTGGCAGCCCTTTCCTCTGGGTTGGAGATGGGGCAGTGTTGCGTGCGAGTGGTCAGCGGGCGGTGCGAGACTGACCAGCGGCGGTGGTGCGAGACCGGAGTGTGGTGGGGCATGGGGGGGGCGGTGGTGTGGGGGAGGGGTGTTGTGTTTGCGTTGCTTAGTAGCAGCAGCAGGCTTGACACCAATGCAATGTTCGCTTTTTAAAACAGGACCGATTCTCACGCCGGTGAAATACGTTCATCTCGCACTGAATGAACGATGCTCAGGATGTACAACAGCTATTTGGATGTAGTGTACGCTACCGCCGATTGTTATTCTCAGCGACGAGTGATGCGTGAACTGGCCTTGCCCCCTTTCCATCCTCACACCAACCCGCACTGACTAGTGCCGGGAAGTACGGTCAAACGACGCTCATAACCAGCAGTGTCCAGAGGACCTTCGTTTGTTCCACTTCGTATTGGACTGTTTTTTTTTTTGTTCCATTCTGCCCGTGAATTTGACGATGAAAAAATTAACCCGTAAAAACAAAGTTTTTCACTCTAAATCCTTTATATGCGTGGCGGCTAGAGTCCTCTCGTCCTCTGGCTTGAGATGGCTGCCACCTATGGGTCAGATGATTGTCTGCCACCATTAAGCAATTGGTAATTAAATATTTTAAAAAATTTCCCTAAACAGTGTAAAATTTTGGAAAAATTTTTTTACAAAAATATAATTGTCACGCACAACGAGTCTGTGTGGAAAATGTCAGCTCGATTGGATCACGGGAAGTGGGTTAAAAAACGACCGAAAGATTTGCACGGTCGTAAGCAAGCAAGCAAGCACGCAAGCACGCAAGCAAGCAAGCAAGCGAACTTAATATAAAGGATTTAAAAAGAAGAGTATTGAGACGTGCCTCAAGACGAGGGAGTTTTCAATCTGTGCATACAGCCAGCTAAATGATGTACGGGGGGGGGAGAAACATCGGCACACCGAGCAAGACAAAAGGAACACAATCTGATCAGCGTAAAGAGTGTGCAAAGTCTCATGGAGAGGTGGCACATTCCGAGAGGCAGGAGGAGGAACACTCGGATCAAGCAACAAAACACACGTCAGCGATGTATGCGTGTGTGTTGAACTATTTCGCACCGTTCGTAGCCAACTGTGGGGGAACGACAACAAACTAAACACAAGAAGCAGTTCTAAAGAAATTAGTTTTTTCAATGTAGATTATATAAAAATGCATAGCTCCCAGCTGCTTCCTAATAAAGGAAGAGCATTCCAGACGGCCGCAGAAGCACGATGTTCGATGGCTTAGCCAAAAGCCGTTGCTGCGAGGGCGACCGAAGTTTGCGCGTGACGGTTTGGGCAGGACACGTCGCGAGAAGGGTTGACGGTCGAAGGACGAGACTGTAACGGGCACGACAATGCGGGAAATGGAGCGATTAAATCAGCTCGCGTACAACGAGGGAGGATTGATCGCGGCATCGTGAGACCGTGAAGATGCAGCGGATGGATGATGAATGACCGTTTGTTTTGGACGTTGAAGTTGCTGCTATCCGTCCAGTACAAAATTGTCTAAACATCCACAATGGAAACATCACGAGGCTCTGCCGGAGACGGACGAGGCAACAATTACGATTATTATTTGTAACAGCGGGTGTTTTCGCTCGATAGCACAAACGATTCCTCAGCATGGACACAATCGCGGGCGGGAACAACGCGGCATTTTGAACGAACCGCAAGACCTCATTCACCCAATAAATAATAAAGTGATAAGGGATTCATCACGCGAAAGGTTAAAGGTGCAGCCCTGCAATTGCTCGCTCACGCCACTGCTGGCAGAACGGGCCTCCGCTAGAGTAAGCTCGAGAGCAGCCCTTCTACAGAGAGGGTACACATTGGCCTACTCCTCCACGCTGGCCAGACGTCTTGCAGGAGGCGGGAACAGCCATAGGGGCCGTCCATAAATGACGTCACGCACCTAGGGGGTGGGGGGGGGGGTCAGACATTTGTGACGATGTGTGACGAGGGGGGGGGGGAGTTGAGAAACGTGACGTCACATCAAAATGCGCAATTTTAAATAAATATAGACAACACGTTCAACTTAATTAAAAAGACTTTGTAATAAATGTTTTCTCTTACAACATCAGAGTGCAGCGCCACATTAAATACGCACTACAATGACAATAGTTTAAAGCGATTCGAAGCATGTTTTATTTTTTTGTGGTGGGGTGGGCAGAGCTTTGTGACGTCATATTTGAGGGGGGGGTCTGACTTTTTGTGACGTCGTGTGACGAAGGGAGGGGGGGTCAAAAATCGTCCAAAATCGCGTGACGTCATTTATAGACGGTCCCATACGCAACCCCGGCCACACGTGAGCGACTGTGGACAGTGGCGGCGGTGAGGGGGGGGGGCGTCGTTACGACTGCCGCGCCAGGGAGATGGGGTCCAACCCGGCCATCTCAGGATTGCAAGTCCAGCGGTGCTATAACCGCTACACCATCGTGGGCTGCATCCACGTTGTTTATTCACCCCGCCCCCCACCCACCCCCGCCAGATAGGACTGCCATAATAACGTCGGCTCGTTCTGACGCAAGCTACTTTGGCAGGTTTGACCTCGGGTTTTTCCACACAATGACACAACGCGGCCGGCAACCCCTGCGATGAAATGCCATTTTATATTCGTCAGACTGCAAACCCCGTCTCGATGTTGTGCAACCGCCAAATTAATTGCTCGTAACTTCTTATTCAAGCCAAAAAAAGAGATTTTCATTACGGGTTCATTCGAGGTGCACTGTCGCAAAATAATGAGGTTTTCAAAGGCTCTGGCGTGAATTAGATTCATACTCATAGTGAATTAGATTACGCTTTTGGCAGTGGCGACGCCAGGCGTAAGCAAAGCAAGCAAAAGTGCAGGGCCCCAGGGGCCTCAAGGGGGCCCTGGAATCGGGAGGAAAATAGTGCGTCAATTATCTTATCAGCTCAAATTCAAATAAACATGACCACCGAAATTGACGTAAATGGAATATACCTTCTCATTTTTATTCCCACATCTATCTCCATGTATATATTTTTGCTCTTTCATTCATCTCACGACATCTCTAGCTCTTGTCCACATCTCTTCTGTCACCTCACGAGGATTGTATAAGGTAAAAGCGGGGTCCCCCCCCCCCGAATGATTCCTGCTCAGGGCCTCCAATGGGCCAGCACCACCACTGGCTTTTGTTAATTGTGTGGGATGGTAGCTATGCACGTGGCCGGTAATCCAACACTCTGCAGGCAGCGAGCGTTGGTGGATCACCGCACAAATGTTGCGAAACTCCCTTCCCGTAGGCGTCGAGACAGAAAATTGTGCACTCCACCTGTTCCATCTGTACGGGATAGAGTGTTGCTCCCTCGCACGCGTGGCATTTCTCTGCGTGCTCTGGTCTCCTCCCACACGTATAAACACTCATTAATTGGCCAATAACACCTTGATACACAGAGGACCGCAGAGCTTGGGCAATCGTTGGTGCTGGCTCACTGGCCGGCTGCCAGCTTGCCGCTTGTCTGTGCCTCGTGGGTTGTTCTCTCCCTTCTTCGACTGTGCCAGCCAAGACTGTGGCAGCGCCATGACGGTTCTGTGGGTGAGAGTCATACTCGATTGCAATACCACCGCCATCTTGTGGCTTCATTACATCACTGCATGGCAAATGATTATTCACGGTTTTTTTGTTTTTGGGCCTCTGGGGGATGAATGCGATGCTGTCGTACGTGTTTTGAGGGTGGAGCAGCGCACTGCCCCTAAAAAGCCCCCCCCCCCCACCCCCGAGTTCGATTCTCAGCCGCGGCGAGTAGATGTAAACTAGTCCTCAACCTCCACCCTTCAAGCCGCAATGGCTAGTGCGGTGAAGTATGGTTCAGTTCAGCTCCATGACTAACTCGGCATGGGGAGACCATCCAGCAGCGGATTAAAAAAACAGAGCTGTAAATACAAATTAAAATAGTTTCATGCAGATTTTATGGCGCGGCTTACCGGTGTTTTTAATTTAAGTGGATTCCATTCATGCTTGTTCTTCATTTTACAACCAAATTGACTCAGCAATATACTGCATCAAACAAAAATAATTTGTATGCAGTTCAAAACTGAAAAATTTTCTCTTACAAAAAATATTTGCATAAAACTAACTTCCATTACACCCCGAAGGCGATTAGCACCAACGATTGCAAATGAGGTAAAACCGTACATTTGGTGCTTTCTATTACATCAGCAGTGGTTCAAACCGCCTTCGGAATTAATTTAAGTTAGTGCGCTGAAGCTCGCGCTTGATTATAGCCGGGGCTGCCCTGGGCTGAGCTGCGGAAAATAATTCCCTGCCGTCCTCCCGCACATACAATGCTGTGCGTTACCATTCCGCTCGTGACCAGCCAGGCTCGCTTGTGGGTTTCAAAGATGCAACAGACAACACGCAGAGAAAGTCATTCGAGAATTTACACTCAGTGGGGAGGGTCACAGTGATGCCCATTGCTTTGGCTCGAGCCACCGCCGCGTGGGTTGTCGCGTTGGTGCCACGCAGCGCGCTCTCCGACGTGTCATCGGCTCGGAACATAAACTACAAACGATAAAACAATGTTTTATTTTACCGGGTAAGGCCCACGAAGCCTAGATAGCTCTGTTTCAAAAGCAACCTGGCCAGAAATGATAGCTCAACGAAGTGGCTTATCGCGTGTAAATGTATAGCAGCCAAATGCTCGAAAAGCAAGTTTTTACATTTGGAGGGAAAAACCGGAGAACCTGGAGACAAATCCATGCAACACGCAAACTCCAAATCTAAATAGGCGTCAAGGTTGGGATCGAACCCATGACCCCCTGCATAGCAGGCGAGGTAGTTAACATCTGGCCACATCACGCGAAATGACAGCACATGGTGCAACCCAAGGATGCATCGGAGGAGAGCTCTTACATCGACTCCGGGCAGCAATGATAGCGCGTGACATTTGAAAGTTCTCCGAAATCTTCATGCAATGCGGAGCCCTTGTCGTTCGCGCGGCTTTCGCAACACGGGGGTGGCAAAGTTTAAATTCTAGTCACGTAAACCATTTACAAATTGCACCATATGGGGCGCCGCGCGTTTTTATTTGACTTAACAGCCCGAGCACCATAAAGTTTACTATTCATTCCTCAAAGAAACATGAGACATTTATCGATCTGAACTGTATCAGGGGGATGGCGGAGGAGGAAAGTCACCCGGAGCCTTCAGAGTTTGTACCCTGGCTCTGCGCTCTGTTGTCTACAAACAGGCACTGGTTGCAGGGCGCCTTGCCAATTTGTAGTCGTGCCCCAACTTAACGTCTTATCGGATCGAGTGAGTCGTGCAGTTTGGATTTGCACCATTCTTATAGCGCCACCAGGCTATGCTGTGCAGACAACAGTCTGCAGTAACTTCCCAATAGGTGCCGATGATTGCTATATGTTTCCCAAATGAGTAATTTGCGGGTTATCATTTTTTTATGTGGCAAGCTTGGAACATGACGCCGGAACGATATTGTTTAACTTGGAACTTGCGAAGTCAACGGCGCGTAGCGTGTATGGTCTTTACACCCACAGTATTCATCTTCTTGGTTCTTTTGGTAAAGTCACGTAGAAGGGAAATAATAAAATAATAAAAATAAAACATAATAAAATTATTCTCACGTTTCAGCCACGACGCAAGCAGCCGTCCTCAGGTGAAGAACAGGTCTGTCGGAAAGACAGCGTCTGAATGGAACACCACCAGGCTTGGAGCGTATATTTAAGCTGGGTTTCCATAAATATGCTAAATTTCGTCTTGATATGCAAATTATTTTGTCAAGGCGCTCTTCTCCCTCCAACCCAGCTTAAATATACGCTCCAAGCCTGGTGGTGTTTCATTCAGACGCTGTCTTTCCGACAGACCTGTTCTTCACCTGAGGACGGCTGCTTGCGTTGTGGCCGAAACGTCGTGAGAATTATTTTATTATGTTTTATTTTTATTATTTTATTATTTCCCTTCTACGTGACTTTACCGAAAGAACCAAGAAGATGAATCCCTGCAGTCACGAAATATTTAAATCGTAAATCGAAACCCACAGTATTATTACACTGGCCAACACACTTTGTCTGGAATAAGGTATTCCAACGGTTTTAAGGCAATTTTGGGGTGCTGATTCCAAATGTGGCATCAGTTTTTGTCTATCACATCAGGTTTTTGAGATATCAAATATTGCATTTTCAATAAAAACTGCAGAAGAAAAATATTAAATAAATGTGGATTTCTACATAAAATGATATTATAAACACACTATCCTAAAAATACAGCACCATATTTTAACACTAAAGCAGTCACTGACTCGCAACAACTTGCAATCATAAGTGACCAAGTTAATTTCGGGTAAAATTAATGAAAATTGGGTATGCCGATAGCATAAAATGAGATGCGATAGAGCAAATCTGAGATGAGATTTGGAATCAGCACTCTGAAATTAGTCTAAAACAGCTGCAAAAGTCCAGGCCAGAAATTTTATTTTTGTTGACCAGTGTTATTTGTCTTAGTTTAATGCTGCGAAAAAAGGTCCCATATATATAACTGCTCTGATACTCGTGTAGTGATGTTAAATGGATCACGACGGCGCGTCGCACCAAGTGGCGTTGAAACAAGCGCAGAGGCTAACACAACGTGCAGTACCGCTCAGTGGGCCACTATGGGCATGGTACTGGGTGCGAGCAGGAGGAAGTCTGATGAGTCCTACCGACAGAGTAGGGGATAGCAGCCTCCACAAGCGCCGCAGGGAATCACCACAGAGCCGGCCGCTGGGAGAGTGGCGGCTGGGGGCAGCTGGTGGTACGGGCCATGTGAGGACGAGTCACGTGATGAGCCGGGGTGAGTAATGTGGGCCAAAGGTGAACGAGGGGGCACGGGGGGGAGTAGCTGAGAACGTCTGGAGAGTTCCCGAAAGAGACGTGGTTAAGGGCGGAGCCAGAGAGGGAACAGGTGCTGTGTAGCCTGGAACCGTCGGGAATATTCTGGACGTAGGGTGCGGCCGAGGGTGGAGCCAGGCCGCGCCAAGAGAGATAAAAGGGAAGCCCCGATCACAGATCCGGGCTGTCTGCAGGTGAAGTGGAACCCAAGTGCTACGTCTACGTCTCCGACATCGTGGGTCAGGCAGCCCGTTGGCTGCTCTGACCCGATTATAGTTATCCCGTATGCAAGAGAAATAGGTGTATTGTGGTTCCATGCGTAACAAGAGTGAGAATAGGTGTATTTAGCCCCGTGTGTAACGGTGTTGCGTAAAGTGTAGAATCAACGTTGTTGCCTCGTAAATAGTGTCTCTGAATGACTCCCTACATTTGCATTGTCTTTGGGGTTCTCTGGTCTGACACTGGTGAAACAATGACATAAAGAAGGCTGTCTCTGGTGTAGGCCAATCGGTTGCAAAGACAATGTGTATATTATTATCAGAGCGTGTTGTTTGCATATTTTGCCACAAGTACGTGTGGTTAATGCGGACTTAATCCCTTGCAAAAAGGGTCATCTGCTTGGTGTTTGAACATCTCAACACCTCGTTGTTTCATTGCCAGGAAGGGTAAAACACCTATTCTTGTGTTCCATACTCGAACGATGTTAAAGTGGACTCCCGTCATCGCCCTCCAGTTCCTCGTGCCCACCGGGTCGTCGTCGCGTCGCACGACGACGACCGCCGCTACCGCTGTAACCCCCCCGCTCGCGCGTGTGTTTGGCTCGTGCGGCTTTTGCAGCTACCTGAACGACCTGGAGAGAATATCGAACCTCAGCTACATCCCCACGCAGCAGGACGTGCTGCGCACGCGCGTGAAAACCACGGGCATCGTGGAGACTCACTTCACCTTCAAGGACCTCCACTTCAAGTGAGCGGCACCTCCAGGTCGTAGCCGCAGGCCCATCGCCACGGTAGGCCACGCAAATGGTAAAAGGTGCAGCCCTGCAATTGCTCGCTCGCGCCCATTGCTGGCGGAAGGGTCTCCACTCGTGGAAGCTCTAGGGAGGCCCTCTCGAGCGTATTGAGCACTGAACACCACACGATCATACCTGTGTGCCTATTGCTAGAGTAGCCCCGTAAAAGGTAAACGGTGCAGCCCCGCAATTGCTCGCTCATGCCCATTGCTGGCGGAAGGGTCTGGGTGGCGATGTGAGCTGAACGGATGGCTCTGCCCAGGATGTTCGACGTGGGAGGGCAGAGGTCGGAGCGAAAGAAGTGGATCCACTGCTTCGAGGGCGTCACTGCCATCATCTTCTGCGTGGCGCTCAGCGCGTACGATCTGGTGCTGGCGGAGGATGAGGAGACGGTGAGTTGAGAGCTCGCGTCACTGCCGACGTCGGGCCTCGGAAGCTACGCAGGGTTCATCCTTCCTACTACTCGGATGATGGACCGCCCAGGAAAACCGGGTGTTGTAGGTTCGGGTTGTGGTTGATGAATTAACCAAGAGACGGCGTATAATTAAACGTGGTGCCTAAGGCACCTTGCAAGATATGATATGTTAAGTGATCATCTGCGGGCAAAACCCCATAAAATTACCTCCAACACTCGCATTAGGGAATACAATTTTTTTACCCAAAACCCAATTTGGCGTGCACTTAACTTTAATTAACCTGACAAGATGTAAACGAGCCGGCCGCACATCGAACCAGCTGCTGCTGCTGCTGCTGGTGCTGACAAGGCACCTCATTAGGCTGACGAATCGATGCTTGGCGCACCGCAGCGAGCTCATGTGCCCATTGTTGTTCGCCTTTGCAGAACCGCATGCACGAGAGCATGAAGCTCTTCGACAGCATCTGCAACAACAAGTGGTTCACGGAGACGTCCATCATCCTGTTCCTCAACAAGAAGGACCTCTTCGAGGAGAAGATCAACAAGAGTCCCCTGTCCATCTGCTTCGCCGAGTACACCGGTAAATCTGGCAGGCCGAGACGACCAGCGGCTCCATTGTTATCAGGGTATCAGTTGATAGTTTGCCATTATTCATGGAACTTTCCCAATGCGCTGCTGGATGAAGGCCTCTCCTAGTGCCGTGCCAGTCATGTGGGTTGCTTGACCGTTCTTCGGCACACTGGTCAGTGTGGGTTGCTGGAGGAGTGCAGGATGCCATTCGCCACTGACCGAGAATATTGCTCAGATAACTGGGATCATAGCCCAATGCGCTCACCAAGATATCACTGCTCCCCCCCCCCTCCGCCTATTAGCACTGTAATTTGTTTACAAAATGTAACAAATAGATGGTACCATACCTCTGTGCATGTGTAGTCACTGAATCGGAGACACTAAGAGTTGGAGGCACTCTGTTTATTAACACGCACCAACGGGGTAACACTTTCAAATAATCCGTCTATAGTCGACTACGGTTCCCAGTCAGGACAGTGGGTAGATTGCTTGACTGGCGATGCCAAGACGGTGAAGACGGAGACGACTGTAAAGACTCCAGCAGCATGATGGGGATCCCACTCCAAACGACAGCCCCGAGGTCCCCTCTCGGGGCCCCTCTCATGCTGTCAGCGTAGCCTGGCTCCACCCCCGGCCACGCCCCCTTTCTAGAAGCTACCCGCGGGTTCATGGTGTGTCCCTTCCGTGACCTTTCCCCGAGATCCCCCTCTGGTCTATCACGTGGCCTGATGCTGTCTGGGCTGCTGTAAGCTGCAGATCTCCTTCCCCGCCAGCAGCCAGCACTATGCTGCTACATAGCTAATTCTATGTCACTACACATGTATGTTCCGCTCAGAAGCATTAAGCATTCCATCAAATTAATTAAGTTCAGAAATATGCACAATTTTGAGTAGCATTTCCTTCATGCCATATTGCCTGCTATTTAATTCACTGTCCTTCATTCAACCCAGCGAGAGCTCTTTTGGATTCACTACCGTTTCTATTTTATGTAAATCTGGGAATGATTGTGTTTTTTTACACTTCGGCTGCTGGTGATTAACACATTTATTTGATTTGGCCTTGGACACTGACAAACACTGGCTGAATCTAGTGAATGATGGCTTGGGCTGGACACGTTTGGCTATGTATGATGCGAAAGAAGTTCAACATACGTACATTCTTGACCAATGGTCAAGAATAAAGACAGCACGGCAGCCAATGGATGGGACGGGTCCAAAAGGAGGACGCCTACCGAGGAGACAGAGCGCCGAAATCAGCCGGTGGGCGGGTGTCAGGTGGATTGTCGAATCACAGGACTGCGAGAGCTGGCGACGGCTTGGGGTGGCCTTCATCCCGCAGTGGATTGATCGTGGCTGACGGTGATGACGATGATGATATCCCGATGAAAGTTCTTAGTGTCTGCAGAAATGGAACATCTGTCCCTTGCAGCGTCACACTTATGCGAGCGAACATAACCCTACTGTGACCATTACTTAACATCAATTTAAGTTCGTGGAATATTCGACGGTTATTTTTTTTTCCTCCAATTTCTTAATTAGCTTCATCGCCGTACTTGCTTTGGTAAATTGTTTCCCTTTTTGTCATTTTGGCGAGCCGGGTCGCTCTTGCAAATGAGACTCATCCTGGTCACTCGAGCTGTGATATGGCTAAACGAAATAAAAACTTGAATCCCCCTCCCCTGACTAGGGCCGCCCACACGGAGGGGCTCGGGGTGGCGTGGGTGAGCCTAACGCCAGTGATCGCTGGGTCCCCCCCCCGCTCCCCGTCTATCTCTCCTTCGCTGTGGCTACCCCCCACCCCCCCCCCCCAGGCTCCAACACGTACGAGGAGGCGGCAGCGTACATCCAGTGTCAGTTTGAGGATCTGAACAAGAGGAAGGACACCAAGGAGATCTACTCACACTTCACCTGCGCCACCGACACCAAGAACGTGCAGTTCGTCTTCGACGCCGTCACCGACGTCATCATCAAGAACAACCTCAAGGACTGCGGCCTCTTCTGATGCGGCCGGATCGTTTGTTCTGCCAGGTGGGGGGTCTTTGCAGAAAGACAAGACAAAGATCCTCCCCGCTGTTAGCGAGTCGCGCCTATGAAGGCCGGCTCGGCACACGACGGGGTGGATGGCCAATACTACGCCCGGCCGCCTTTGTCTTCCCAGTGGCAACGTTTACACACCGCACCAGGTACTCATTTGAGGCCCAGGACCGGTTCAGAAAATTAATCGGAACTCGTGTTGACCCCGAGCAAGGAATGGAACTCGGGTCGTCGGGTTCGTAGAGCAGTGTGTGAACCATGACAATACCCGTTAGGACACCGCGCTACGAATATGGCGACCCCCGAGTTCGATTCCCACTCGCAGAAAAACATATATATCTGAACCGGTCTTGAGCCTCCCCTAGGTCGACTCAGCATTAAATTGGTATTTGGTGTGGTGTATAAAAATCAGTACTGGGGATACAAAGGTGACCAGGCATGGTGCTTGCCACCTGCCCCCTCGTGCGCCATACTACCTTTGATAGGTGCTTACTAGTTTAACACGTAGGCTTTCGCGACCAATATCATCGATAATATAGGTGTTTTGGGTTAGATTGCGTAAATATGTAAATGTTACGTTAAACCCGCCACCACCGACACAGCCAACTAGTAAATAATTACAACTAACTTCATCAGGCGACAGACTGATAATTACTGGCGAAATGTCGTACTCAAGATTGTAAATGTTGTGGCTTGGCTCCCCAACACACCGTTGTGCTGTACTAGTGACGAATTGGCCACGTTCTGTTTACGTGACAACCCTTACTAGTTGACTGTGTCGGGTGGTGGTGGGTTTTAACGACACATTTAGATATTTACACGATCTAACCCAAAAAAACCTCCATTATAGATGTTTACTAACAGCACTTGCTGCTGTGCCCTGAAAAGGTTGAACGGGGATTCTGTGATTTCATGGTTGATTTGTGACATGAGTGGTGTAGATAATTATTCCATTTCCACGTTTCTTAAGTTACTCACACTTAACGAATATTTGTTTAACTGTATGCCATCATCATAATCATCATCGTCGGCCATGGCCAATCCACTGCTGGATGATCCTCTCCCAAGCTGCTGCCACGCTCCACCCAGCAACCAACTCCTCAGTTGATTTTCCTCTCAGACGTTGTTGTATTCCTTGGCTGTAACTCTGTGAAGGGAAGGGATAAGGAGGGGGGAGAAGGAGGGAGGGATAAGAGGATTTGGGGGGAGGATGGGGAATAGGATCCGGAGCAGACCTTGTGTTCATTCATCAATTCATTCCTGGAGGCAAGATGAGTTGCCATTGCGAAAGAGCTTGTTAGCTCAATGGGCTTCACTCGGGAAACGAACTTCTAATTCGACTATTCTTGAACTACGGCTGTCATCCTCTCCAGCGACGAGTCCTGCCCAAGCCCGCTTACTTTTTATACGGTTTGAAATTACGTGTTTAACCTGTGTATGTTCTTTAATCTCATGTCATCCTTTCCTTAGCATAAATATTAATGGAGGCAATTTAAGCGGCGTGGCAAAAGGTCTTGTTATTCATTTGCAATGGAAAAAGATAATTAGCAGTTAATTCTGAAAATTACATATTTATTTCCGATGTACACATTTGTGAGCTAATCAAAATATTTGCATACTTATATAGTCATTTATTTTTTACAATTATTTTAACGATTGGCCCAAGGAGGTTTTCATTATTGGCTATTTTAATTATTGAAAGACGGTTGATTTCAGATGAGGCGATAAAGAATTAATGCAAAAATGTCACGGCAGCCATCGATTTTAACTTATCAGAAATAACATCGGGCAGTAATGAGAAACATGTTTTTAAAAGGATAGTCCAGGATGGTGACGAGAGACAATAGGTATCGTAGCACAGTAATTCAGGGCCTTTTAATGTGCTCGTTTCACAATAGACGTCATCCATGTGCATTCACAGCAAATCTGAAGGCACCTCATCTGGATAAAAGCGAGGAGAGAACAAGAATGCACAAGCACCGATCCTCTAACGCCTTGTAATGTGCTTGTTCTCAGAAGCGCGGTATTAATCGGCGATAACAACGTCGGCTTCGAATCACAAAACCACGTGACGTCGCATGGCGCACGGACGCACGACGTGGCGAGATGACATCACAAAGGCTTGCAAATGAGGCTGCTGATTTGACCGAACATTTGATTAATGTTTCACAATGTGGCGAACGTATTGGAATGAGGTCACTTACACGTGTGATCCAACAGACGAACTTAAGACGTGATCGTAATCTATGAATCGACGCTTTGTTTGAGCACACTTCCATTTGCCGTGAGATTCGTATTGCTAGCAGCCGGTCTAAACAACAAGCGAAGTTCGATTCCCGGGCAAGGCTAACGTCAATGGTGAGCGATGTCTGAACCGATTCTGGGGACCCCCTTTCCAGCCTGCACTGACCAACACAGCTTGATGACGCTTTCATCCAGCAGTGGAATGACAAAGGGCTGTAAAAAATAAAATACAAAATGTCGTCAAAGGACTGATTCGTTACCGATCGAACGCTGTCGTGTAATGTTTGCCAAAAGACCCTCGCTCGCCTACGCATTAAAAAAATCCCCATTTCCTTGTATTTACAGATTTGAATCTCTCCCCCACTCCCCCAAATAAAAAAAACTCTGGTGCATTGCTCTGGAGGAAGAAAGGATTCCGAAGAACGCTACCAAACACTCGTTCCTACTCTTCGCGTCGTTTCCCCAGCCTTCGTCGCTGCTTTTGTGAAGTGCGCGTTGCTGCAAGGAGTTTCTGCCCCCCGCCCGATCAGTGGCGATCGTTCTCATTGCTCGCTTGTGTAATGCAATGCTTTATGGGCGGCGTTCGGATGGAGTCTGTCTTCCCCCACCCCCTCTCCCCCAGCACCCCCCCCCCCCCCACACAAAGGCAACAGAAGCACGATTGTAGTCGGTTCGTGTTCAAAGCGGGCCCAGCACAAGTACTTGCAGTAGGAAAGAAGAAAAGACAAAACGAAACGTGGGCGCAGGCGGCAAAGCTTTTGCCCGTGGCGTGACGTCACCGCGTTCGGGGGGGGCAGGGGGGGGGTGTACACAGCAGTGACGTGCGGTGAGGTCAATGGCTGGGGATGCACTGGCTAGTGTCAGAGCCAGATTCACACACTGAGGGGCGTGTCCTCACTGAGGGGGGCGTGTTAAACACGTCTTTCTCAGTGAGGCAGATGTGATAGCTGCCTCCCCTGGTGCTTTTTCATTGCAGTTTCATGACGAGACCAGCGAGCCTAAATATCTTTATACACATACGTGAAATAAGTTACCTGGAGTATGGAAGGCGAGGACATGAAACGAAGGGGTCTACAAACATTACATTGGTGACATACTGAGATAGTAACAGGCACGCGCTTATCGCCCACGCTCCATCCAGTTACTGAGGGGTTGCGCAATCAGAGGGGAGGCTGAGCCCGTCGCTGCCTCACCTCTCGTCTCTTCTTGTATTTGCAGCGGAGCTCCGCAAACTTGGCGATTTTGACTATAAAAATGATTGGAATCGTACATAAATGACATTTATAACACAGATCAGCGGAAAAATCTTAATATTTATTTTATTTGATTCTCTTTTTTTTTTCGTAACAGCTATTCTCATTGGAGTATGACAGGCGAGGCTCTGCCTCCCCTGCCTCCCCTAACCGCACGTCCCCGGAGTGCACTCTGCTGAAGGGGCCGCGCGTTCGTCCTTCGCGTCGCACACAAAGAGAAGCACAACGGGCGCTGCGCGGACGTGGCGCTGTTTCTGTCACACACAACCCCGCGGGACGTCGTCGAATCCGTAGCGCGATCCTTCCGCGTGTGTCCGCTCGCGTCGCCCTCTCAAAGCGCCGGGTCTCTGCCGGAGCGGTTGTGACAGTGTTATGCAAAAAAAACCAAATCGCGTCGTTCATTTTTTTTTTTCTTTGTGAACCAGGCGGGTTTTCTTTTTTCCTCCGTGTAGAAAACCCGAAGAGTGTTGCCATGGCTTTTAGCTATCGCTTTGTTTTACGAGGAGCAAAAAAAATAATCACAGTATTGCCATCTTCAACAAATGGTTGTTTCCGTATTCTTGGTACAATGTGGTTGTTATACTACTGCTACTTGTGATATGATGTATCTACAGTGAAGCAGTTGGCACCATCAGTCACCTCTGTTTCTGGAATGTAAGAAAAAATCTCTTTTTAGCCACAGGAAACATTATTATGACGTTATCATGTGGCTTGATAGAATTGACTGGATAAATGCATACATGTTTTTAGTGTTAGCGTACCTAGCTTAGTGACAGTGTAAATATGGTGAAATTCTACTGTGTAGGTTTTCGCGCTTGTGCTGTAGAGCTCTCCGATGTGTATTGTGTTTGCATCGTGCCGTGTCCAGCACGGTGTCCGACGTGCTGGGAGCAGAACGTTTATCAAGAAGCGGCAATTCCTGATACCATATCGGAGAGCTCGGAGTGAAATTGGCAACACCCTTTTTAAATAGTGACACGATGTCCTGCTATCCACCCCCCCTCCCCCCAAAAAAGAGTATAACTTCAAGTGTGTGCAGTGTGGACATGTAAATTGAGACATTCCTCTGAGCATGTGCATTTTGTCACGTTGTCTTTTGTAAGATTATTGCGAGCAAACGACTTTGCATTTTCACGATGTGTGCGGGGCGCTCGGCATCATCAGCATCGCAATGGGCGTGGCTTGTTGGGGGGTTTCCTGCCTTCGGAAGGCCGCCATTTTTAAAAGACCCGAAGTTAGCGACCACAAAAAAGTAAGTCAATTACAATCTGAAGTCGATCGAGCGACTAATCGTCCCAGCTATGAATGGATATTTTCCAACACTAATAATTGGGGTACAATGTACTACCTTCTTAACATGCGGTACAATGCAATTTGACGGTAATATGAACCTGCCCATTACATACCCCGTAGAGGTCTAGGCTGCATAAAACGTATGTAGCACATGCTTGTCAGTGTGTTTTGACTGTATCACGTGGGTGTTTGGATTTCCGGTTTATGAACGCTCGGTTTTCCGACATTTCGCGCGGACGCAATTGCCAAACTGTGGACACTTTTCGATGATCGAAATCGAATTTCTGCGTTCACGAAATTTCACTCTGGCCACTCGCCACGAGATCATCAAGGGAGAGTCACCCCGGAGTCTTCGCGTCATCCATCCGCGACAGCGTCACGGTGTCCCTGCAGCAGTGCAACGGTGACGCCACCGCATCTCGCCTTGCCCGTCATTCCAACGTGCAGATCTTTTGGCGAAAGGTCCCTTTAGAGGTTAATTATTTTAAATTATTCATTAATTTGAATTATTTATGTGTTCATTATTGTAAAAAAAAATATTGTGAAAAGTGATGTAGGTGTATTATACATTTAGGTTAGGAGTAGAGGTGGGACGACTGTCTGAAACACACCCCTAATTCTTAGTATTAAATTAATGGGTGAAGCCATTCCGATTTCGAATGTTTCGTTTTACCCGTGTTTTTTTGACGAACGCATCCCTTTCGTAATTTGAGGGATACCTGATTTTGGAAATTGATAAATGGTTAAACGAGCTCGTAGCCAATTCTATGCTCTTAAGCATACTAAAACACCGTTCTTTTTTGCCCCACAATTGGGCAACCAGGCCTCTCTGTTATTTGAGCAGCATAATGCTGATACTCACTGAATAATAATGCCAATAGTGATACACACTCCCAGTCCATCCACTGCTGCATACCATCGCATGTGCTGTTGACCATGTGGGTGGGTTGACTATACTTCATCAAGCTGGTCCTCTGCGGGTTGGCGGAAGGGGGGTGAAGGAATGGCGTGGGAGTGCCGGATTAGTTCAGATAGAACTCGCCGTTGATATTAACCATGGCCGAGAGTCAAACTCATCTCACTGGGTTCAAAGGACAACCGGCATACTCATCACCTCCGATTAGCACGGTTGACTACGCACAGTGCGAAAGAAGTTCATCATACATCACTACATCACTGCATTACCGCTCCATCTGTAGCTGCTGAATACATTGGAGTAATTAGCACGGTCACATGAAGTGAGTTTTTTTCTCACCCATACGTGGGCATTTATACCAAGTAATTCTATACTCTCTGCTTCTTTCGGTAAAGTCACGTAGATAGAAAAAATAACATTAAAAAACACATTACGATTTAAAGCTTTCGTGACTGCAGGGATTCATCCTCTTGGTTCTTTCGGTAAAGTCACGTCTAAGGGAAATAATAAAATAATAAAAATAAAACATAATAAAATTATTCTCACGACATTTCGGCCACAACGCAAGCAGCCGTCCTCAGGTGAAGAACAGGTCTGTCGGGAAGACAGAGTCTGAATGACTTTACCGAAAGAACCAAGAAGATAAAAAAACACGTTTCGGTCGCAACACAAGCGTCCGTCTTCAGGTGAGAAAATTATCTGTAGGAGTGAACTTATGCAGCCACCACTCGACAAAACTCCTCCCCCTCCCCCCCGTGCCTATATGAAGCCACAACAGCAGATAATGTTCTCACCTGAAGACGGACGCTTGTGTTGCGACCGAAACGTCGTGTTCTCTTCTGTTATTTTTTCTACCCACGTGACTTTACCGAAAGAACCAGAGAGTATTGATTCCTGCAGTCACGAAAGCTTCAAGTCAAGACCAAGTAATTCTGTCCAATATGTAATGACAAATATGCCTTGGTTCTAAATGACATTAGATGAGGACGATAATGATTATGGTGACGATTGGTTTGTTATAGTTTAAATGGTCATTAATACTCCAGTTCTATGAATAATCTTGTATATTTGTTACGCGTGTTTTCTTAAACTGTACTGTATTAATATGTTGGTGGTTGATGCTGCATATAATGTTGTGATGTACAAAAATATAGTTTCGGCTAAAAGGCTCATCTTTCTTGTTGGTTATGATCCGTGCTTAATATATATACACGAAAGGTGTCGAATTACTTTTAAGACTTGAGGAATATTTTACGACGAGAATTGGAATGAAAAAACAATTACACTATACTCTTTGGTTCTTTCGGTAAAGTCACGTAGAGTATGAATTCCTGCAGTCACGAAAGCTTCAAATCAAGATCAAATGACACTATGTGACGCGTCGCTTTGAAAGGATCGTGGAAGCATTGCACCAGAGCAGGTTGACACGAAACGTCCTGGTGCAATGCTGTGCTCTCTCCACATCGCGTAAAATGTTACACGTCCTGCGGTGCTGCATATGTTACGTGTTTGAGTTTTAGTTGGCGTGTTCACAAATGCAAGGGAGCACAATCGATTGTTTTAGAGATTTAATAGATTCTTCTTAATTTAATTGGTGGCGGGCAGAGATCTGTCCAACGCCTTGTCAAGGAGGACAAAGCATACACGTTTATTGAAACATGATAACCCACAAATAATACCGTTTCATTGTTACGGTTGTGCTGTACAGCTTGAGTGACGCGTTTTCAGGTCGTACCACGTGTTTGTTTGGCATGATGCCTGACGTGCTGGGCTGCGAGCTTCTTCGGGAAGTGAGCGTTGTTCTTCTTCAGTATCTGAAGCTCACAGCACGTGCCACGAAACGTCAGACATCATGCCGAACAACATAAAACACATCTGACGGGTTCTGGAAGAACCTCACTTGAGTCTCGAAACTCGATCAAGAGGGCCCTGCTTGGATTGTCTGGCCACGAGTTTAACATTTTTTTTGCATGGGGAGAAAATTGGGAGTGATTAAAAAAAATTACATTTATAAGAGAATAGCACTCAAATTCCTTATTGACAGGACTGCAACCGACTCACTGGACTCACCCCTAAATGTTCCTCGCTGCTAATTAAATACGCCTCAAGTTAATTAATTACAAACATGCTTCTGCCTCAAGGCGGTTGATGGTCTTGTTTCCATTTAGTCGTTTTTTTCTTCAATTAAAAATAACCATGCTGTCGGTAAAAATGCCACGAGGATGAAGAATAGAACTTGAATCTCACAAAGCAGTATGCTCCGTGCGTGTCGGACAACAGCTGCCGACAAGATTTTGACACGAGACTTTTCCCAAAATTATTTTCAGGCGGCCTTTTTTTTTGTATCACTTGTGCACGTAGGTTAGATGTCACACGACAGTCAAACCACCATTCTTTCATTCTCAAGAGCTGGAATTCGGAAGAAATAAAGTGTAGAAACTCAACGTTATTCGGTTGGGTGTTTATTTTGTTGTTGTGCAGTCACTGACGACCGGTGTTTCGACCATTAACTCGCTGCACTTGAGAATACCTTTTTTTTTTTTACAAAATCGCTGACGACCGAGACGTGGATTTTTTGACGGTGCCGACTCGGTTGCATTTTGGGAGACGAAAAGCCCAAAGTGGCATTGGAACCTGCGGTGGCTATCGAATCGCCAACCTGTGGAGCACATCTGTTCGGCAATGCCCCATTGAGTCGTGACCGGCGACCATGAAGACGCTGACGCAGCTAAGGAGCGGTCGAGTTGTGACTTCCGAAGGAAGCTAAACTTCAGCAGTACCCTTGTTTGTTCACGTGACTTAATACGAGTTCATTATGTCACAACCCATTTACGGTCTCACGGTTAAATCGCATTATTAGCTGTTATTGGCCACGACGAAATTGGAACTGCCGCAGAGGTGCAACCTTAGACGGTACCTACAAGTAAGACGTTAAACTGGACATCTGCGAACAACAGGGCTTTATAGCTCATCGGATTACTCCAGATATAAATACATATTCAGATTGTGATGTATTCGTTGGCAGCGTCTCAAGACATTCCCAATGTCGCTCCCGTCGCCCTCGTCTAGATCACCAGCCTCGACATCAACACAGAACGCTGCCAACAGATGCCTGGTGGTCAGCATTGAGGTCTACTGACCGACATGAACCCCGAGTTGTATTAATAATGCATTCTGAAAATACCGATGTCAATGTATTCCAGAATAGGATGTGCTTAAGATTGTATTGGGAAGCATGTACATAAATATATATTTTTAAATTGTATTTTCCCTAATTTCGTGATGACATTGAGCAGGTAATTACTCAAGTATTTCACAAAGCGTTGGCTAGTAATTATTTAAACATGTTTTACCCCTAAATAATATAAAAATGTTTCGTTAGTATTTTAATTGTACTCATAAAAAATATTTCAGTTCTGAAAGTGACATTTTCTACGGCTTAAAAAGACGCTGCAAGTTGATATGCAGCAGATTATTTGAGTCTCTCCTCATCTCACATTGTCTAGACATTATTTGCCACTAAATGTGTTTTTTTAGCGTTATGTAGAAAATGTATCTTTTGTGCCTTAATTTTATCGGGATCTCTACGCTAATAAACGTTACGATGGGGGTTTCTTGTCATTTATGGATCTGATTAATCATGGAACACAAGACTTGTGTATTTGTGAAATATTTTAAAGCCGAAAGTAATTTCATTCGAAAGGAAGTGCAGTTTGCTGTTAATGGGTATCGTAACACTAATGCGTGACGTTAGCAATGTACTCAACATTTCAGTATACAATTCTATCTTTTTTTAGTTTGAATGCTTGTTTACAGAATTATATTTGTTTTCTTTAGTTATTACTGAGTCTGTAAGGCATTGAACAAACTTGTTTTATTTGCTGTGTTGCTACTGTAGCCGTTAATTCAGTAAAGTCTTTAAACATGAAATGTCTACGCATGTTTCCTACACGTGCGAGGATCTAACCTGGTTCATATTTTACTTCCACAAGAATTATTAGCGGCGTGGTGGCGCAGTGGGTTAGCACCGCACTATGAACGCAGCCACTTGGGTTCAATCCCTGGCCACGGTTAAGAATCAGCGGCAGAGTTGTGTGGGAAACCGATCCTGGGCCCCCTATTTCGCCAACCCGCACTGAACAGCACGTTGAGGTATGGTCAAACATCCAGCACGCTACCAACCAGACGCACATTGGCAAAGCGGTTCAAACAATGTTATTATTGGTATTAAAAAAAAACAGCACTTTATTTTTTAAAGTAAAACTGTTAAGCTTAAACCTTTCTGCTCAAATACATTTCCCCGTAAGATTTTTTCGGTGCAAGAAACACGTGACCAATTCACTCGCAAAAAATCTAAACAATTCCACGTGACATTTTACCACAAGGTACATTATGTGAAAAAGGAAGTCATTTCTTTTTTCAGGGTCAAAGAGATTGCCAAGCAATTGGTTCTTGAGCATGCGGTAGCTGGAGAAATGCTCACCTTCCAATCAATCTTCTATCTGATTGTTCCTGAGCCAAAGCTGCCCCTTTTTTTATTTTATCTGCCACGATTTTCTGGGGATAATTGAGCGGCTCACAGGACCGGCGTTCTTTTCGGGGTGTCTCATTTCTCCAGATGGAACGGTGATATTCCCCCCGATCGATGCACGCCTCTACATCAAGGAAACAGTCGAGTGGACGGTGGTGCTTCCTTGCATCATGCGCATAAAAAAATTATCTGGCTTGCTTTAACCTTTAACGCGTGAACCTGGTCAACAAATGTAAATTCCTTGGTGACGGTTAACGTCAGTGGTGAGCAATATGTGAACTGGAACTGGGCCTCCGGGCAGCACCAGCTGACAGGGTGAATCACGGTAAAACAAGCCCCTCATGACTGGCAAGTGTGGGGAGGATCTTTATCCAGTAGTGAAAAAAGGCAGATGGATGTAATTTAAAATATACCATATTATAATGGTCACAATATCACGGGTGGGACCAAATTGCTCCCCTCGCGATTCAATAAATAACTTTGGTTCTGGGTCGCAATTCAATTTGCGGTGAACATCGTGGACTTTAGTATGTCTAAACAAAAACATTTTACTTGAAAATTCGGGCATGAAAACCACTCGCATCCGCCTCTTAATGACATAATTTCTATTAGCATCCATAGAGGTCAACATTATTCTGTTTTTCCCAGTTGCATCCCAGGAACAACTATTTATTAAACGCATTCATCTTGAGCCCAACGTTTCAGGCTTATCTGTTAATTTCCGAAATGATTTCTTGTGCTTAAAATCACATTTGTTGCTATACATTCCCACACCTCCCATTAGCACGGTTGGCTACGTATGTTGCGAAAGAAATTCAACATCCACGTACATACATGTTTTCTTCATCGCTCGCAGGATCTCGTACAGTTTTTAAAACTATCTTCATTATAAATAATGAAGAAAAAACCCGGTTTATGTCACCATGGAATATAATATTTTTTTTTCTTTCGGCCTTTGAACATTCTCAACCAATTCTACAGTAGCAGTTGTTGAAGCGTTATTCTCATCCCAAAAAAAAATCCCAGTATGACAGCACAATGCGTGTTGTACCCATGTCACTTGTAGTTTAATGTCTTCTTATGCCTCTAATACGCACATTGAGGATGAGAAAGAGTGATGGATTATAGATGCGGCTAGTCAAAGTTAAAAAGGTGGATTATAAATGTCTTGCAAGCGTAGCATTTCTAGAATTATGATACATGGTCCAAGGCAAGAATGCCCTACATGTATTGAATATGTCCGGAACATATTCTTGTTTCTTTCGGTAAAGTCACATAGAAGGAAAAAAAACATAAGATAAAATTCTCACGACGTTTCGGCCACAACCCAATTTTATCTTATTATGTTTAATTTTTATTATTTTATTATTTACATTCTACGTGACTTTACCGAAAGAACCAAGAATATGAATACATGCAGTCACGAAAGCTTTAAATCGAAAAATGTCCGGAACAGTAAAATATTAATCTAGCAACACAACATACTTTAATATAACTTTACACATGTTTTGCTTACATTCACTTTGCAATGACTATCCGACTCTCCACAGGTCTAAGCCTATTTGGGTGTATGTTTACTATACTGGATATACATTCCCATAGATGCCTATGTTAAATTATTTAATAATTATAGATTTCCTACTCCAACAGTGAAAACCGTATTTTCTACTCAATTCTAACCTTGCCAAAAATCAACAGTTGCGTTACAATAACCACATCAATAACCACAATCAACTTATCAGAACTCTTAAGAGGCCTTATAACCCGAGGCCCTCCATTTTATAGTCTTACAGTACTGCAGTTAACAAATCCATTTACAAAATATCAGCCGACTCATAACATATTTACAAACAATGTGTCAACAAAGGGTGGTCATCTCGCCTGTAACAATCAATTGATGAAGTCTGTTCTATTCAGCTCAGTGCTCAGTAGTGCTGAGGTTGCCTCGTAATGCCTACTACTGGTAAGCGCTTGAACTATTGAACTCTGCAGTGACGGACAGATGTCAACAGTTGTTAAGGGACAGCCACTGCAAATTAATATTCATGGCATTACTCTTTGAAATGGTTTGAATGGGGGAGAGCGGTGGTTATTATAATTGCTCCCTTCCCTTTTTAAACACATTCCTGCGGAGGTAGCTGGTAGGAACGTTGGGTTGCTCGGTCAATGGCCAGGATCAACGGCGGCGTGGTGTATTCCGCAAATATGCCCGACTGTGAGGGCGGGCACAAACCGGCGTGAGTAGGTTAAACGTTGAGTTTGATAAGGACATCACGGGGTGACCAGCCCCTCCCCACCCAGCCCCATCCCTCCCACCCCCCACCCAGCCCCACCCTCCCCACCCCACCCTCCCCACCCAGCCCTCCCCACCCAGCCCCCCCTCCCCACCCAGCCCCTCCCTGCATGATGGACGGACGGACACAATAATCCCCTGTGGGCTGAGGTTCCTACCAGTAACAGAAGCTTAGGGCCCCAATGTAAACCGAGATTATTTCAATAAATGCTGGGTGCATCACATACATCAGCACAAATTGGTAATAAGTGATATTTAAAAATACTTTTTTTAAAAACACGCTTTAATGAAATGTACCGTACGAGTAATGGCAGAACTCCACGACTCGAGGAAGTGGCCCCGAAGCTTGTCATAACGTAAGGAGCCGTGGCCAATTACAGCCAAAGTGAGTTGAGCGTGGACAATTAGACCCAAGCCGAAACATAACATATAAAAAAGATGGTTTAAAAATATATTTTTTATTTTTAATGATAGAATATAGTATCGTCACCAGTATGACTTAAGTATACCAAGTGTGCAGTCGATACGACATTGAGGAGTGGGTTAAAATTGAGTTGCAAGATTTGAGGATACGACAACAGACAGAGTGAGTTAAATAAAAGCGTGTCATAATAGTAGTAAAAACACAACAATCCATTTAACGCTACAATCCAAGTACTCTCTCATCTTTAGCGTGTCTGGATCTCGTCTCTCATCAGGACATCTCAATTTTTGCCTGCAATTCTCACCTCACTACATCTCTCTTGTCTACGTGATGTAATTTGTTATCTAACTGGGATTGAGATGCGGGGGGGGGGGCAAAGACAATTTCTTCGAAGGTCCACCCCACCCAATGAGCTACACCACCACTGCTTATAAATGACGATCATGGACGTGCAGTATGCAAGTTCTTCAAGTTTGTAGTCATCTATTCTGTGGGTCTTTCGGTAAAGTCACGTAGATAGGTTCTAAGAAAATCACAAAAAATAACAAAAGGACGACGACGTGTCGATCGCAACACAAGCGTTCGTCATCAGGAAGAAAAAAGAGTGGGTGGGGGCGGGAGTGTCACTTGCGAATGTGTAATTTGGTTGTATAGTCACAAGGTGGCATGGTTCATCTATGCTGCGCAAGTGTTTCACTGGGCGAGCAAACATTCAAAAACACACGTAACAACAGTACGTCTGCTCTGCATATCCCGGCAGTGATTAAACACTGCCAATGTCACGAGCCTATGGGGAAATCACCTTGAATATGCCCTGTCTCGGAAGCTAAGCATATGTTTTTTTATGCCTGATTAGCGCTTGGATGGGAAAGGGTCCGTCCATAAATGACGTCACGCACCTAGAGGGGGGGGGGGGGGTCAGGCATTTGTGACGATGTGACTAGGGGGGGTGTTTAGAAATGTGATGTCACATCAAAATGAGCAACTTTAAATAAATATAGACAACACGTTCTTCTTAATTAAATAGACTTTTTAATAAATGTTTTCTCCTACAACATCAGAGTGCAGCGCCACATTAAATACGCACTACAATGACAATAGTTTAAAGCGATTTGAAGCATGTTTTATTTTGGGGGGGGGGCAGAGCTTTGTGACGTCATATTTGAGGGGGGGTCTGAATTTTTGTGACGCCGTGTGACGACGGGGGGGGGGGGGGGTCAAAAATCGTCCAAAATCGCGTGACGTCATTTATGGACGGACCCAAACCATCATGCATAACAGTGTGAATAGTCTGCAAGGGATTTACGTTGTCAGCAGAGGTCAGTGTAGCAAAATCCGTTGGTGTAGTGTTCTCTACTCCCACGTGTATGCCCTCAAGCAATCTGCGTTCACCAGCGCGGTGAAGTATGATCCCCCTGAGTGAAATGCTTTATTTATTATTTGGACATTTCATTCACAATTATATGCAAATTGTGCCATCGGCGTCAGTTTATCAGTGCGTCACGCTGCGTGTCAGAGTACAGCCCGGGAAGATGACTCCCCAGAACTACTGCTCAAGTCACTTCGATAGACCTCCAAATCCACACTTGGGTCACACCTTTCAATCAAACTGGACATTTTAAATCCTTTTGGGGTGGAATAAATCAAATCAAATGTAAAACACTTTTGATAATTGTTGTTTG